TAACCATACGGAAAAATCGTAAGAAAATACAGAAAAAAATCTTTATATTATCTAAGTTTAACAAAAGATATTAATCTAAATCCTACATTATTTTTAGCAATAGAATAAAAGGATAAAGATTAAATTTAGAGATGGATCTCGTAAATTTATCTTTAAGAACCTGTTCTTTTTTTATTTTTTACGTCGTAGATATTGTACTAAGTACCACTATACACTTATGGCATAATTAAACAAATAGGATAAATTTCATAACATAGTTCTATTTATTTATAAGATAAGAGAAAGAGCCAACTCCCAACGTGACTAAAAGACAACAAAAATGTAATAAGTGTTGCCAGATTAAAAATTAATTAATTTTAATTTTTTTTTAATCTGGCAACACTTCTTGAAATTTAATTAATTAATTAACATTCTTCCAACTTATGAACATTTTTCGGAAATTCTCTTGTAATTTAATCTGATTTAATAAAATAGTTGTTACGCGTAAATATTTTTATTAAATAATATTTTAATTTTACCATTTTAATTCCTAAAGATAAACAAGTCAGTGTTGCCAGTTAAACTTTAATTAAATATCCCCAAATATCCCTAAAAAACCTCTAATATTAGGTTTATTTTAAAACTTTTGTGAAATTTTTTTAATATTTCATTTATGATTTTTTTAATGAAATCTGAATTTTTTTTATCTTTAAAAAAAATTATAAAAAAATAAAATTGTACTGATTTCCTGTAACACGCCAAATAATTTCCCTATTTTGGAAGGGAAAAAACCGATAATGTAACCATTTAAATTCACGTTAGATGAAGCGTGTCCGATTTTACTCCATTTAAAAGCCATTCAATCGTAAGCTAATTGCATAATTAAGCCCACTCTGAGCCATCATCAGCCGCTCCGTATTGGTAACATTCAAAAGTTATTCCCATAGCCCGAAACATCTTCCGATAATTTTTGAAATTGGTTCCTTTATAATTAATATCTTATACAGTAATTCACCTCATCTGTCCCAGATTTTTCGTCTCACGTGATTACACTTTATATAGAATCTATCCTATATTTTAACCGCTTGTCCTACATTTTAGCTCCAAGATAGTCACTATAATACTACAATGCTTAGTAATTGGATATTCACTAAGATGGATACAGGAAAAACTCGTCTCATTAAATAATCTCTTAGATACATTTCCTCGAACTTTAAAGCAGAATGTTCATGATTAAACATCATTATCTCCATCTAAAAAGTTGATATTTATTCATCAAACCGAAATTTATTTTAAATTATATAAAATTCGGGAAATATTACCTAATATTTCCCTTTATCTTAGGAAAATGTATAGAGTTTAATTGAAAAATACCGCTTGAAGAAGGGAATTATCCTTTACATTAGGAAAATTAACTAAAGTAACCCTTTACGTTAGGAAAATTACCCAAAGTAACCCTTTATTTTAAGCAAATTACTACTTGTTCCTATACGAGAAAGAAATTTATTTAAAATAACCCTTTATACTAGAGAAATTTACCTAATATATCCCTAGATTAGAGAAATTTCTGTAGAAAATATAAAGTATATAAGACGACCTTTCTGTCAATAAACGGCATACTTGGAGGATATCTCTTGTTAACAAACAAAATTATGATACCGGTATATAAATTACCCGTTCCATCGCTTATATTATAAATTATTTAATTGTAACAATATCCTTTCATAATTATTAGAATTCTTTGATGAAATTCTGGGTTTTTAGTCAGTATATCGCTTTGCAATTATGGAAATTTCCATTATCAAACTCAGAAAATATAATATTAAAACAAAAGGAATGGTCAACAAGAGGTAATTCTATGATATTTTAATAAAATACATGGAAAAAAATAACTTAAAACAGGCTCGATTATATTTAAATTACCAAGTAAACAATTTCTTCTCCTCAATAATCGCTACATCTTTGATAATTGAACGTTGCGTGTGAAGTAAGGGCATCGGTTTGTGTGGCACACATCGAACGAAGCCACGAAACAGCTGCATATTTATGCAAAGGAAGGAAGAGAAATTATCTACCTATGAACCTTCTTCAAGGTCGGGGAACTTTCTCCCACCGAAAAGTGGCCCCACAACTCCCCACCGAGTCGAATGTTTGGGAAAAGCCATTTTAGCGGGCTTAAGCGTAAACAGCAATCAATGGAATGTTACAGAAGTGTAACTGTTACAAACCATACAGTTCCCTTCAAAAATACTTTCGAGCAAGAATATAATTACCCTTCGGGGAAAAATTTAACACCTATAATTTCCCTTAAAAAAAAAAAACGGGATTTTTTTTTATAGTAACAAGAGTACAATCGACGTAATTCTTATTTTGTTGTTCGTTGACTCCAATTTTTTTATAGCAAACAATGCGCGACGTTAAATCCGACTCCCGCTTTATAACAAAAGGATTTAAAAATAAATACAAATAAGTAAAATCTGATAACAAAAAACAATTTTTGACCTATTGTACCGTATTATTACTTAGAATTATTTAAAGATAACAATATTTTTTGAATATTTTCATATTTAACCATGATAAATGTTTTAACTGTAAATTTTTGTGAAAACAATTACCCAACTGTAAAGAGCACGGAAGTATTGTTTTGATATCAGAATAAACCACCCATAAATATATATTTATATATTTTCTTTTATTATTTATGCTCATGTCATATCTAGTTCTAGCGATAAGACAATAAAATTACTATAATAAATAAAACTAAAGTAAGTAGTTCGAACGGTTCTTCTTCTTCGCATATGTACTTCACATTCATTACTCCGAGACAATAGTGTTGATTATTACGTATAGAAATCTATCAGTTACGCAAAAAAAAACTCGATGTCTTGGGGATTTTTCCCGATCGCTCTACTGTTATTTCCCTAATTAACAGGTAACTAGAAGGAAGAGAAAATATTGAAAAGTAAACTTTTCTGTTTTTAATAATAAAGTTGGTCAGGGTGAGGTAGAAATGTGACTTGAAATTCCGGTGAGTTGTAAACCGGTTTTCTTACATTTTAGTACCTGTACCATGTAAAGTTGTCCACGTCAGAGATGCGATAGAACAAAATAGGAAATGGTAAAAATCCAACTTAACTACTAAGTTCTATACAAGTGCATAACGAAAATAAATAAATAAATAAAAAGATTTACACGCCACGTTTGATGGTAATTCGAATACCGGTGCTACGTGTAAAGATATGTGTGGCATATAGCTACTGTGAATGAACCGACGTCCTTCGACCCGATAAGTGAGCTACGAGACGAGACGAACTCAACCCCATTTTCATAGCTAAAAACTTGTATTTTTTTCGTTAAACTAGTTAAATCCCTTTTACAGAATTAACTAAACGTAACCACTCTACAACGCTGGATATTCGTACAAACCGAATAAATTTAGGGGGGTGTAGAAAAGGAGCTTGCAAACATCCCCACATCGCGTATATAATAAATGGTAGAATGTTAAGAGGAAAAGACTTCGTAACTATCCCACGCCCGGTATACGTATTAAAAGAAAATTATCATCACGAGTATGACCATACGTGCCCCTAAAGCAAGGATATCCAAACCATTGTGTGGAGGCCTACTTTATCGCTGTCATGAGGGAAATAAAAATAATGTTAGGCAGCCATCAGATCGACTGACGACCCGCTCGCTACACTTACTAAATAATTTCCCACAAAAGTTCATTCGGTTTGTGCCACAGTTCCCATTCGAAACTAGGTTTTGATAGAAAATATCGTAGAAAAAATTTAGTTCTCATTTTTTTTCAGTGTTAGAACAATACAACGAAGAGCTGGAAATTGCATTAAACGTCCCACCAAACGGGTAAATTCGGAATTTTGGAGAATGTAGCCAGTTAGAACGGTACTCAAAAATGTTATTTTAGCGACGTCAAGCGAATCTTCGAGCCATATAGACACAGAATTATGACATAAGCGAAATATGAACGATGTAAGCGGGACACGCAAGAGCCTACACAGATTTATGGTCGTGTATGATGAAATCAAATGGTATTCCACTAGTTTCTACGCGAGTTATGCCTCCATCTAAAAGATGAAAACATAAAATACGTAGAACACAATTTATACGCGGTAGAATAAACATAAATTGAATGGTTTGGATAAAATGTGAAGCGTAAAATATGCGCGATGTAAATAGAGCGATTTAGATGGAAGACAAGGCAAAATATAAATGTATAAATGTAAAGAAATAAACAGAATATCCGAGCAAAAATACACACTATTAAAGGGTTATATTAATTAATCTATAAACCTTATATTAAGTTGAACAGGAGAGAAAGCTCGTGTATAACTTGAACAGAAAAAAGACTCTTAGCTTGAACGTAATGCAAAGGTGGTATGTAAGTTGAACTCAAAAATCATACGTAATTTGAATAGAAACAAGCGTAAGTTACTTATTAATTAAACAGAAACAAGCATTTATAGTACTAAAAAACAGAAATAAGTGCATATACGACTTGAACAGACACTAGATCTTTAACAATGAAAAACAAGTTACGTACTATACGTTACTTGAACAAAACACAAGATTTAAACACGGCTTTGAACATCATAACACCTAACCAATTCGAGCAAAACACAGAACACGAGCGGCACAGAACACAAAAGTTTAAACGCAGAACACGAGCGAAACAATTGAAAAACACACACACACAAATCAACTAAAGACGAAAATTTTGAATATTTCTAATAGAAACGTCTCTTAAATTCTAGTTTTTCTGTTTCTACTTTTCGATCGATTATCAATCGTGCGCTAGCATTAAAAAAACAACCAAAAAAAACCGGCAAATAGAAGCGAAACAAGTTCTTGCTACCTATATCTTCATTAAATTAATATAAAAACGAATAAAAAATTAACTATAATATTTAAATAACACGTATAAATGGCTTTATGAACGAAACGTTCATAAATCTTCGGGGGGGAAAATAATAATAATAATAAAAGTTTTGCCAACTTACCGACTTCTTTTTGTGAAGTTTCGCTTCCGATGGCAAGTTGTATTAATGTTATATATAAAATAGTTATAAAGATCCAAAGGCAACGATCCATTTTTTGTTTTAAAATGTTATAACCGATGCCATCACTGGAAACTTCTTTCTTCTTCCGACACTCTCCGGTTCGGAATGAGCGGCATCTTCTGCTCATCGTCTAAATCGTTCTTCTGCGCAACAATTTAGAGACGGCAAACGTGCTACACGTCATACAAGTTTCCACCAATCGCTGTATGGTGTCGCTTCTACAGGTATTTGTGTCTTTTCCTTTCTAATCGAACCTAACGTGTGTTGTTTATGTCTCCTGGTGATAAATTATTTCGTTTTGTAATTTATTTATTATTCGATTTTTTTTATTATTATTTCGCGTTTTAATTTTCATAACTTTTAACGTTTTTTTTTGTTGTAATAATAATTATTATTATTAATGTATCGGCGCTTCTGTAAGTATTAATATATATATTTTTTTATGTTTTAATTGAACCTAACGTGTTGCTTATGTTGTGTAGGTAACTTGTTTTTTTTTTCGTTTATTATTATTATTTTTTTACTTTATGAAACTTAATAGTTTTATTTTCTTATTTTTTAAGCTCATTTTTCCAGAATATTTTAATTTATTTTAAAGTTTTGCGCTTTTCTTCGGCCTTACATGACATCATTCTCCGTATTTTGTACTCTAAAATGAATTTTTAAATCCATTTTTTAGGCTTAATAATGTATTTTTGTTCCATTTTTATAGCAAATTTCCCCATTTCTTACGCTTTATCACTCTTTTTCTCGTAATATTTACCCTTATTTCATATTTTTCATAATTTTCCCGGCTTATTATTAACTTTTTTTATCATCGTCATCATCATAATCATCATTATTATTATCATCATTAATTATTTCAATCACGTGCTACTCTCGAAACGAATCATTCTGATGAATTTAGACCACCCAAATTGCCCTTTAACAAAAGATTACATGGGCGTAGATACAAAATAAACATTTATGAGCTTAAATATGTACAGATAGCATTAGATACTCTAACAGATAACATAAAGATACTCTAAATACTTTAGAATACTTTAAATACCCTAAATATATTCTAAAGTATGCTTTAACGAACATTATAATACTTTTAGGGCATTTAAAATATCTAAATACCGTAATTAAATATAAAATACTCAAGAAAAAAACCTAAAACATGCACTAAATAGAATAAATATTCTAATTAAATTTCCTTAAATATTTTAAATTCTTTTTAAAATAACCTAAAAATACTTTAAAATATGTTAAGCTATACTCTAAAGATACTAATTTTTCTAATCAAATATTCTAAATATTCTTAAAAATACTCAGAAATATTCTAAAAAGGAATCTAAACTACGTTTTATAATCACTAAACATACTTTAAAATAATATAAAATACTTGAATTACTGTAAAATAATCTAAAAACTGTAAATCATAAATATAAGTAAGTTAATAATTTAAATAAAAATTAATTTAGATTTTTTTTTAAATAAATTTTTTTCCCTTTAAAGCAAGATTGTGGCATTAAAAACCTGTTTTCTATTTGTAATCGAATAATAATAATAATAATAATTCCTGAATAATAGAATGAGTCATAGGACAATCTAGACAATTTTCTCTCATCTTATCCTTTGTAGGAAGTGCCTTATTTTAGAGGGAAGTGTTTTTACAGGAGTTTTTTTCTTGGGGGAGAAATTTTAAAAAGATTTTTAGATTTATTTTCACTGGGTTTATTTAATTAAATAAGAAATTTCTTGAAAAGGCAAAATTAAATTACGATACCAGAAAGTTACGCCATTTAAAAAAAAAACAATGAGATCAAAGCGCGCGATCTCATCGTTTTTATCGCTTTTTATTTTTAATAAAAATAAAATATAATTAAAAATTGTTTTAAGAAGCAATTGTGTTCTTTAAATGGCGGGAGGAAACGCGATAATCGCGTCGCGAGCGCCGCGATGCGACCATCGCGTTTCCTCCATACATGGTTAATATTCTACGATGTAAACTTTCTCGTGAAAAACTACTGCATTTATTAAAAATTCTAAATTGCTTAATAAACTTTATAAAATTGTTGTTCTTGTTTGAAATAATGAATTTATATCTTAATTTATAAAATACGTTCTTAAAATTTCGAAATAAATAATTTTTTTCAATGATTTTATTTATCTTAAAAGTCGTGCATCCAGATACATCATTGAAAAAATGCTAAATGTTTAAATAAAGAATGAGAGAAGTAACTTAAATCATTATAAAACTTGTTTGTGAAACGTTTTACCTTCATTTCTTACTATTTATTACACGTTATACACCAATAAAGATGCAATATAACCAGTTGAAGATTCTACCTCGTGGCACAATGATGAAGACAAATCCTTCTATTTATACTTAAAATAAATGATATTTTCCTTATAAAATATTCGTGAATGAAATATTTTCAGAGCTTTCCTTTTCTATCTTACGAACTCTCACCTTATATGGCAAGAAACAGGTAAATTCGGGTCATGAGAGTTCTTGTAGAGTAGCGAGAGGTCAGATCCACTTACCTACTAAAAGTAAAGGGATCTCTATCTAACATGCAGATAAAAGTAAGTGGGAAAAGAGGATATCCGCGCTCTGACCCACTGAAATTATCTAAAGAATCTCGAATCTGTCGTAGATGAACTGTCACGATACAAACGAGAAAAGAAGGACAAACCAGAATTTTATTTTTTAAACTGGCCAAAAAAACTATTATAAACACGAAAAGTGAAATGGTTCTGTTACTAAAGTGTTATAATTCGAGACATTATACATCTTTGAAACGTGATATATTTTGACAGGAAAAGTTGGGATCATCTGTGCCATGTGAATGATGCTCTCCTAGCTTCAAAATCTTCCATGTTACAACTATAACGAACCCAAAAGTTAAGATTTCTGGGAGTTTTCAAGTTCCTTGACCATAAAAAGTGGTTTAAAAATATATTAAATTATCTGTAGATCTGTTTTGTGCCATCTGTCTGATAGAGTATTACATAAATCAACTGCAAGTCGCATAAAAACATGTTTTGCTGGCATTCATAATTTAAATAGTCTGCTCTTGGGATTAGAAAGAGGCCTAGAAACACAAAAATCATGCAGATTTAGACCTTTTCTAAGCTGTTGTAAGCTTATTAATTGAAGTATAGTAGATTCTGACAGCATTTATGGGTTTATTTCAAAGCTTCGAATTTATTTTGTAGTAATATATAACGTAAAAACACAAAAAATAAATAATTTTTAAAGTATTTTCTAATTAAATGGGGGACAAAAAATAATTATAAATTTAGTATCCATATCCTCATTCACGATCTCAATTAGAATGAGCCCTTTGCAAGCATTCACAAATCGTAATATTTAGAAATTTTTCGACATTTTAAAGGTGTTTAGAACAATATAGTTACTTGAAAATTATCATATTTCTTCAGATATCCTCCATAAATTGTATTTAATTAAATACAAGAACAAGATCTGTAAGTTTACATAGGTAGAACTCATGTACAGTACTGTACAACTGATTGAGAAATCAGTTCTGAGTGATGCAATATTGAATTATTTAAAACTTATATTGATAGATATATAAGTTACGACTGATATAATGTTTTAATTCTGAATGATTTCTTACATTTTTTTTTTTTAATGGTTCTAAATTTATATGCCTTTACAAGATTCAATGGGCAACACGCAAAAAAATTGAAAAAACAGTAAAATTAATTTATAAAAATAATGTTTACAATATGGAGTGGAGTTTTCCGGGTTTTCTTCACATATCTAAAACCTAAATAGGGCCAGTTTCCATAGAAAGTCCTTCTAGAAGGCACCTTCCCGTTGACCGGTTGCTCACGTATTGCATTGCCTTATGCCATCAATTCAATTCTTTTTTTAGATGCCAAATGGGGAAAATTTCTATGATTTATTAATGGTTGATTATGAATTTTAATTTTATTATTCGTTCAAATTTTAAAAACTTTTAAATTTTATTGGATTGGATAAATCAACGTAAGATATGGGAGAACTGCTAAGGGGTGCATTTCTGGTGGATTTTCTGTGGGAAACTGGTCCATATTTAGAATGTTAGACATGTAGAGAAAACCTCGGAAATTTCACGTGGCTAGTCCGTTGGTGAGGCTCGTGTTTAACGGTTTAAACTTTATTGGAGTTCGGGGTAAATGCTTCATTCCGGAATTTCATTGAACTGAATTTTTAGAAATGCAACACAATGAGGATTGTAGAAAGGGATATTTTACAGAAATAAACAAGAAAAAAGGGAAAAATGGCTTCCTTAGAAAAAAAAACAATCATCATCTTTATCCCATTTTTATGCATTGCAACATTTTTGATCTTAGATAATCAAAAACCGGATGTTTGTGGGTTTTGTTACTCTAGTAAATTACCCAACAAAACCGGTAAGGTGTTGTCTTAACTTATAGAACTATTCATCAGTTACTACTACATTGAAACTGGAATTTATGAGATGAAACACTTAAAGAATCTATTTAATTTCAGGGAAAATGAATTAAAGAATCAAATTGCATATATCTAATTTTATATCACGTAACTTTTCAGAAAATTTCTTTAAAATTTCAACTAACAAAATAGCGCAATCTATTTTTCTTGAAAAATTGTTACGCCATTTTTAATCTAAACAGCGTAAATTTGTGTAGAAATTTTGTTATTTTTGAAGATTAAATACATTTTTCTTTTTAAACAAATAAAGTATTTATATTCTAAACAGGTTAAAATGGACATAAAGTTGTGATTAAAATGGCTACAAATTCTGTTCATTTTCCAAGAAAATAAAATAGGAAAGTTTCCAAATGAAAAATGAATTTATCATAAAAATTTATGTCCATTGACAAATTTGTAAACATACAGGAAAGTAACGAATTTGAGGAATAATTTAGGGAAAATACCTACGGGATTCAGGTTTAAATATAGGCTATTTCCCCAGAAATGGGGAATTTCGGGAAGATTTTGCATATACAGGATATTATTTAAAGAAATTTATTTGTAAATGATATAGCATTAAAATTTATTTTATATAATTTAATAAAATGAATTAAAAAATTAAAATAAGGACGTAATTATTTAAAATTAAAATAATAATAACAATAACAATAAAAATAATTAGAAATATGACA